GCTCTCTGATGGAATATCTTAGAAATCAGGGAAATGTGGGCTCTGGCCATGCTCCAAAGATTAAAATACCTGACAGTACCTAGTCTTTCATATAAAACTCAAATGTGCAGTGCTAAGAGTCTGCCCTGATCAGAAGCCCTTTTGTGAAGATGTGTCCGTGCCAGAACCACTTAAGCAGAGTGTCAAATAAGGCCAAATGTATACACATTAGGAATTGTGAGAATTGGCAGTTTTTACACGAAAGACGTTTACACAAAAGAATACAGCAAAGTGTATTTTTCTGAGACAATAAGATACCTAACACTTAGTGGAGCATTTGGTGTACAGGCCCCATACTGGGCCTGACTATGTAAGATTAGTCCAACTAGCATGTTTGGAGGATTTGCCATGCTCTGGGCTTGGGGCATGGTAGAGACTGCACATCAATGGCCTGGGGTGGGTAGAAGGAGGAGTATTCTCGTTGGCCCTCAAAGCATTTTTTTAAAGAGCTCTAGGGTTTTTAGGAGGTTTCATATCAGCAGGTTGGAGTTCTTGAAAACTCAGGTTTATTAATCCTGGTTCACATTCCCATGGTAGAGATGAGCAATGGTGGCCTCCTTGATCTTCGACCCAGTCTTTCCCTTCACCCAGCCTCATTTGTCTTACCTGCTTGGCCTCTGTGGGTATTTCTTTTGGGGACCCCTATGCTAAGTACACAAGGAAAAAATGGTCTCTGTCCTCAGGGATTCTTCAATTAGCAGGGAAGATGCCCAAGTAAAGATGTACTGGTAACACAGGAGGACTAGGGTGGGAGACCAGTGTGGGTTGGGAGGGAAAGGACTTCCCAAGAAGGGCATTCCTTAGCAGAACCTCAGAAGATTCATCTTGGAGGTGGCCAAGAAAAGAGAGGGGATCTCGGGAGGCGGGGACAGGAGGATCACAAGTTCAAAGCCAGCTTCAGCAACTTAGTGAGGCCCTAAGCAACTTAGAGAGACTCTCTTAAAAATGAAAAAAAAAAAAATTAAAAATGGAGCCGGGGACATGGCTCAGTGGTTAAGCACCCCTGGGTTCAATTCCTGATACCAAAAAAGAAAAAAAAAAAAAAAAGAGGGCGAGGTGGATAACAGGACTTAACAGGACATCCTTGGGAAGTTTCAGGCACAGAGGGAATGAGAGGGTACAGCGTGACCAGTCCTGGGAGTCAGGGAGTGGCTACAGATGATAAGCTACAGAAAGGCATCATGGAGGGCTTCATCTATGTCAAATAATTTGGATCTTACTGTGAAGACCACAGGAGTCACTGAATGAGGACAGCGCTGCACTTCCATGTTACCAGGCCCCTCAGACATCCCTGTGGAGGTGTGAACCGGCTTGGGGCAGGCACACCTCTTATGTTTGGGAATTAAGTAGAGGAAGTGAAAAAAAAAAAGTTCAATAACTGGCCTTCGGTATTCACAGGATGCTACCTAGTGTAACAAACTCTCATCCTAATAGTCAGAAGCAACAAATTACACTTCTCATGGAAATAAATCTGTGCAAGATTCAACCCAGGCTCAGGATGCCACCATAAATGACAAACTTATACAACTTTATTTCCCTATTGCATCATTAGGGAAAGAAGGTATTGTTGACAACTTCCTTGGATAGCTGGCCAACTTTTTTCCTCCTTTTTTTGCAGTACTGGGGATGACATCTGCGCTCTGTGCATATTAGGCAAGCACTGTTCCGCTGAGCTACGCCTGAGCCCCCAATATCTTTTTTATCAGAGGAGAATAAAAGATTTTCTGATAGAAGGACATTAATACAAGGGATTATTAACAGGTGAGGCAAGAAGGGGTCTGCTGAGCACCTGGGGACTAGAGAGAACTCCTGGATGAGGCTGGTGACCAGGGAACATTTTAAAGACTGAGGAAACTGGAGAAGTCCAAAGGGCTGGAGTCCAGAGACAGACTCCAGTCCCCACCAGAGAGGCAGGACTGCAGTGCATAACATTTATCTATAATATTTTAATGACATAGCAATTTTAAAAATTAATTTTAAGTATACGTGTAACATATACACATAATCTCCTTTTTAAAAAAGAAGAGGAAAGATCACAGACTGGGTCCCTTTTGATCATGACTCCCAACTCAGAGAAAAAAATTACTACTCTACACTTTGGTGAGCATTCTATAGACCTCTAGCTTTTATATACATGGAAATGTACATGCCAAGTATTATTTTGTTTTTTAAAAATAATATAAATGAAATAATGAGCTTTCCATCAGTACATATGCTCATTCTTTAAAATTGCTGTACAATATTCCATAGCGTAGCTATGTCTGAATTTATTTGTTTGTTTCTTTACAGGGACATTTTAGCATTTAATATGTCATTGTTACAAATGTCACAGCATAGAATATACTGTACATCCTTCCTGAGCCCATGTGGTAGCATTTTTTCTCAAATATCAGAATCATTTTTACACTTAAATATTAATGGAGAATATCAAATTTGCTTCTAGAGTTTTTGAGGAACTATTTTCTCACTTGTTAACATAGAAAATTGTCACACTCTTTTTGCCAAGTTGATGAGTGAAAAATGATATCTTGCTTGTATTTCCATGATTACTAGTTTGGTTGAGTGTCTTTTAGTATTTTATTGTCCATTTACCTTTCCCTAGTTGGTATATTGGCTTATTTAGTGTATTACGTAATATTATCCAATGCTGAAAAACACTTATGAATTCTTTGAGAGCAGGGATTATTTCCTGTTTATTATTTTATCCTTTTTTGGCTGTGAGACTCAAAAAGTTAGTTAGCTTCTGGGTCTCAGTTTCCTGATATACAAAATGGGTGTAATGATCATCAATACTTCAGTGAGATGTGATTAAAGGAGTATCTATGTAAAACATTTAGAAGACTGCCTGGAAATATTAAAGTGCAATACCAGTTCTATTAATATCATAGCCTCAGGATTTAGACAAACTGCTCATAGCAGATAATTAAATATGGTTTGAAGTTGGATTTCGACGTTCTAAGAACAGACAAGACATCAAAGCAGGTCAGGCAATGCGAAAACAAGTTGAAGACACGGATACTGAAACATTAAGATCTAGAAGAGTTCCAGCCCCTCCCAGGAGTTCCTCATGCCCACTGATAGTCACTCCCTCCTATTCTCAGCTCCTGATTACCACTGATCCTTTTTCTGTCTCTATAGTTTTACCCTTTCCAAAATGTCAGATAAATGAAATCATTTGAGTGTAGTTTCTTAGACTTCATATACATACTTGAGTTTCATTCACATTATAACAGTAATGCATCCCCCCCTTAACCTAACCCACTGAGTGAAATCCCATTTTATGCAGGTATATACCAAGTTTAACTTGTCACTAGTTGAGGACACTTAAGTTCTTTCTAGTTTGGGGTGATTATGAATAAAGCCCCTATAAACATTTGTGATAGGTTTTGGGTGAATGTAAAGTTTCATTTCTCTTGGGGAAACCCATAGGAGTGTGATTGCTATGTAAGAAACCCTGGAACAGTTTTCTAAAGTGTCTGTACGCTCTTACATTCATAGCCAGGTATATGTGTGACTTTAGTTCTTATAGAACACACCCAAATCATTGTCAACAGAGTAAAATAACTCCAATTTTTTTTTTTTTTTCTTATTAGATGTCCTCCTTTTGGCCATTGAGAAACCTATCTTCTTCCCAGCCATATCTGTCACTGCTTTTTCTGGAGTACTCCTGAGAAGAGTCAAACCCTGGGAAGCCAGTGCTTCTCACATCCAGCTTCTTGCTTGTATCATTTGCCACCTGAGATGTTCACCCTGTATAACTGAGATCTTATACAGACTCCACTGTGGAAACATTTTCATTCTTCAAGACTCCCTCCTACTTTCCAAAAAAAGACAGTTCGTGGAAAAGTGTTGACAGAAAAGGCCAATGAAACTGTGTTGGCACAAGCCCCTTGCTCTCTGCCATCCAGCCTAAGTCCCCAGGTGCCACGTGGAGGAAGCAGCTAAGGAGTTGTCCAAAGCATTGCTTAGTAGAGTAAGCAAAAGCCCTGCTAAAGTCCTAGAGCAGGTCTTTTCCTTTGCATTTTATAACACGCGAATATTCCCCAAAGTAACTAGAACTGATCATAAGGAGTAAAATGAATTGCCACTATTCAGGCTTATGGGAGGAGGACAGAAGTTTTACAATTTATGCGAATTTGGGACAGTTGTTAGTGCTACTCATCACTCTCTCCCTCCAACTTTTTTACATCTGTGTATATACATATGTACATATGGCTTTGGCAGAGAGAACAATGAAAACCCCGCATCTTTCATAACACAGCGCGCGTGGATTTCTTGTAAAAGAGAGAATATGCCCGGGATCGAGTTCTTTTTCTTCCCTGAACAGCCTGGAGTCTGCCTAAACTCGGAAAGGCATCTCTCTTGAGGCCCCCCGAAGTGCTGAGGGCAGTGCCACATGCAACGTGTCCAAGCTGATGCAATTTCAAGCCTTGGGGCTGGGCCAGGGCTCATTTCTTGAGCTACAATTTAATATGTTCCAGCGTGGCTGCCTCTGCAGCGCCTGGAAATCCTTGAAATCTTGTCGCTTGCAGCCATCGCTTCTAAGTGGTATTTTCCGAAAGGGCCCCCGCATGCCAGTCCAGAGCGCTTCCACCACTCAGGAGGCTAAAACAGATCCAACTGACATGATACTACCGTCTCACTTGTATACTGCTCCATCCATCTTTCTTTTTCCCTAACCAAGCGACTGTCCCCACCTTGTTATCTCAGCCAGATCTGACGTGTTCAAAAACTATCTGCAGCTGCTTCCCCATCGAAGACAATAGCTCGTTTGACAATTCTCATCCAGGACCATTCCCGGACCTTTCTCCGAAGTCTCCCAGTAGCAAAACGCTGCCTTTCCTTTTAGCAAAGTCTAAGCATCCCCGCCCACCCGCAGCCCCACCGCCCGGGCCCTTCCACCCTGGGGTCTGCAAAGCTGGACGAGGTGAGGGTGGGCCGCTCGCGGGGGCCGGACTCACCCGGCCCGTGGAGAAGCGCCGGAGTGTCTGGCTGCCCCGCCGCAGCATGCTGGAAAGGAGCGCGCAGCGGCGCGGGAGGCAGGCGAGGGGTTCCCCGTGGGCGCTGCCTGCAGCCTGGGTGCCCAGACCGCCCTGCTCGCTGCGTGGGCCTCCGCTGGTCGGGGACTAGACTCGCGGCCCCGACTCACGGCCCCGCCCCCTTGGCTGACAGGCCCCACCCTCAGATGGCAGGACCCCGCCCCCTCGAGGCTCTGACGGCAGATCCAGTGCAACCCGGCGGAGCTCACTGACGGTCTCCTGGGCAAGGCAGCTACGTGATCCTTCCCTTGGTTCCAGCCACGGCAGGAACGTGCAGTGAAGAATACTGACGGCTGCGGAGTCCTCTACCAGTTACTAAGACCTGTGATGTATATAGAGATCTGCCTCAATGATGATGATCAAACTGACCCCCCAACTCGTATCCACGACCGTCCTGAGAAGGCCTGTATGCGTCGAGCTATGAAATATAAGGGGTAGGTGCACCTTTGCTGTATATAGGGATCCTGATATCGATCTCGTAGGATGATGAAAGGATCAATGAGATTCTGTCCATTGGGCCTGGTGCAGAGCTGGTACCCAGTGGAAAACAGACACGTGCCCTTCTCCCCCACCTCTCTGGAAGCAACGCTGAGAAAGGCTTTAGCCAAGTACTTATCTCAACCGGAACTTACAGTTTGGCATTTACTGATTTTTCACCGCTCTTTTGCACGCGTAACTTGAAGCCTGACAGCAGTACTTGACATTCCTTCCTGGACAAGGCTTCCCAGAAAAGTTTGGCATTTGTTACCATCTTGGCACGACCAAATTCCTTCCTTTCTAAAGGTACAGCTCAAAGATTGCCTCCTGAAGGCACTCCACCTCCCACCCCACCCACAATTCCTTCCTCTCTTAACCTCCTTATTCCCCTAAGCAATCTTTCACTCCTCTAAGTTGGGAAGAATTTTTTATTATGCCGTCTTATGAACCTCTCAATCTGTTATTGATATTTGTGCCACCTGTTATCTTCTCTGCTGCCAAGCTCTTTTTAGACTGAGTCCATGTCAGATTTATCTGGATTTACAATATCTGGCACTAAGCAGAGCTTTGAAAAGAACTTTGTAAAAGAGAAAAAGCTAATGAATGAATAAATGTGATTAAGAAGTAAGGAGAAAGAACCTTTAAAAACTTGGAGAATTGTAGAAAACATTCAGGGTTTAGCTTTGGGTACTAACCTTTGCCATTTCAACCCACTTTTCTATGTTTTGTGACTTCTTGTTTCTTTCAAACTTCCAAATATTGATGTTCATTTTTATTTGTTCATTGTATTTGTTCAGATCTGTGTATCTTAAGGAGTGTGGTCTTTCTCTGAGTGATGCACCATAGTTATATACTGCCTTTCTCAACTTTAGGAAATGTAGAGTTTATGTTTACATTAATATGATGTAATACTTGTGGGAGACCAACCTTGCAGTGATTGGGTCACACTCCCCTGCTGGGTGCTGAGGCGCTCAGTCGCAGAAATGTGGCAGAGCTTTCCCCACCCTTCTTGGGTTCGAGGGTCGGTTACTCGTGCATGGGTATGTCTTGCTACAGCCCCATGAGTGAAGCTATGCTCACCTGTTCCTTTGTAATATAACCCCTTGCCCCGTTTAGGACACTATCTTCCATGGAAGTGCCTTATGTGTGTCCCCTTCTCTTACTGTGGGTGTGGCCTACCTAGGTGTCAGTCAACCTGCTGACAGTGGACATCATGAAGATAGACTCAGCCCCTGAAACCTGACCCCTTGCCTCATTTGAGTAGCTTCTCCTCAATAAAAGGGGTAAGCCAGTGCTCATGCTCTCTCTTCCTGTGGACCCTTAAAGTCAGAGGAGCTGTCACAGCGACCCCAAAGAAAAAGGTATTTGTGTCCCTTGTGTGGTTATTTTGCGTAGCCCAGTCAGCCCAGTTCAACTGGAGTAAACCCTGAGCCTTTTAGTCGCGAGAACAGAAACCCGGCAAATACTCATGTGTCTTTTTTTTTTTTGGAAGAACCCAAAGTGTAGTTCCCTTGATAACTGGAAGTCAGCTATTAGAGAGTTTGGCAAACAAAACACTACTTCAATAATGAAGATGAAATAAGATTTTAGAAAACAAAAGCTTAAGAGAATTTGTCATCATCGGGCACAGGATAATGGGACTATGATAGAGCATCCTCCTAGCAGGAAAAAAATTATCCACATGGAAGCCTAGAAATGTAGGAAGACAAAAAGAAGAAGGAGAGGAAGGAACAATAAAATATTGTGGATTATATTTGTATAATATGAAATATTAAATAAGTATACAAACAACTATAGAAAATTATTGGATAACTTTGGAGAAAGGGAATGTCCATTAGGCAGAAAGAAAACAATCCCACATAAAAGCTCAGAAATGAAGGAATGAATTGAGAGCAATGGAAGGCATAAGTATGAGGGCAAATGTACATCAATATTAATTGTATACCCCAATAATGATGATGTTCTATGTAGTTCAAAAACATATAGACTCAAAATACCTGAAAACAATGGCATTTGATTTTCACAGAGAAAGAAAATGGAGCTAAAGCATTTTAAAGTTGCAGTATTGCCTTGCAAACAAGTTAAATGTTAATTTATGGTAAATTAAGGATGTATATTACATAATAATTTCTAATACAACTATGAGAAGAATATTAATAGAAGGCATAACCACCAGCTTAACATAATGCGTGGCTATCAAGATAATAGAATGATTTAAAAACAGTCCAAAAGAAAGCAAAAGGAGAAAAAGGAACACAGAACAGGTGAGGGAAAAAAGAGTGAAACAGCAAGATGTACACTTAAGTTTAAATATACCAGTAATTTCATTACATAAAAATGGAAAAAAGGTTTAATTAAAAGACAAAGATTGTTAGATTGCTTACAAATAAAACTGCTAAAGATTAAATTTTTATAGTTATTAAAATAACTTCAAATTTTATAAAGTAAAACTTTATGACTCTAAAAAAGGATAGAAAAAATTAAAATCATAAAGATTTTAACATACATTTTCATTAAAGTATAGAAGCAGAAAAAATCAGCAATGATTCAGAATATTTAAATAATTAATGTATTTGACTTAATTAGCAAACAGAAGCATCCAACTACCACATAAATTTATATATTTCAAAATTTATTTATTTATTTTTTATTTTTATTTTTTAATAAATTCCTTAAAGACATATTTTTTTTAAGAGAGAGAGAGAGAGAGAGAATTTTTAATATTTATTTTTTTAGTTCTCGGCAGACACAACATCTTTGTTTGTATGTGGTGCTGAGGCTCGAACCCGGGCTGCACGCATGCCAGGCGAGCGCGCTACCGCTTGAGCCACATCCCCAGCGCCTCAAAATTTATTTTTATTTAAAATTTTATTCCAGTCTGGGAATTGAACCTAGGGTCTCATGCATGCTAGGAAAATGCTTTACCACTAAGACACAACCTGCCCCACATTCTTTTTAAATATATAAAACATATTTTTAAGATTCACCAAATGCAAGGCTATAAACAATTAAAATTGCAGGGTATGGCTTCTGACTGCAGTGGAATTAAACTAGAAATCCATACCACAAAGATAACTGGTGTAATTCTTACTTCTTTGGCATTGATGAAGAACCTACCCCCACCCCCCGCCGCCCCCACCACCACCAGTACTGGGGATTGAACCCAGGGGAGCTTTATCACTTAGCTACATCCCCATCCTTTTTAAATTTTTGAGTCAGAATCTCTCTAAATTACTAAGACTTGCCTCCAGCTTTTGATCCTCCTGCCTCAGCCTCCCCAGTCTCTGGGATTATAGGCAAGCAGCATTGTACCTGGCAATGAAGAAAACTTTTAAATAAGAACAGAGGAAGTTCTGGAAAAGATAGCAAGGTTTTTGCTTTTCCCAGCATTTAGCGCATAGGAGGGAGCCTCTGTCTGTCCACATTTCCAAGACATTGTTGCTGAGAAGGAAAAAAAAAAAAATGAGAGAAAAAATAGTTTGGAGAAACTTACAGAAGCAAAATGGAAAACAAGAGATTCTTATCTGGACTGAACTTTGGGTGTTCAGATTTCTTGAGAAAATACTTGTTAAAGGGCATTTGACACATTCTGGGCATTATAACAAACCAAGTGAGAAAGTGAAGATCAAGTGACTCCCACTGCTGCCTTGGAAGAGGTGACAAGTGACCACATTCCCACATTCCCTACAGGGATGGAGACCATCCCTGTAGCCAGCAAACTGGCCAGCTGAGTCAAGGACGTCAACTGTGAACCTTCTCCTTTTTATTATTTCTTCTTCTTGGATTTTATTATTGTCTCTGCTCTTTGTTTCTCTCCATACACTAAGTCACTGAGACTGACTGCTTCGCAGGCGGCCAATGGATGCGCTATTCTTCAAACTCTAATGTGACTAATTTTTTTATTAGTTAAATAATGCATTGATGGAAAAGATGAATTAGAACAATAGAAAGGAATTTACTGAAAATAAATGCATGTATTTCCTATCTTCCAATGTAGTCCTAATTCTAGAAAGAATAAACAAGTTATGATTTTAATATTTTGGCTTTCTTCACTTAATTGTAACCATTTAATATTTTTTATTTTATATAACCTCTGTTGTGTTACTTTCTTCTGTCTTTTCCTTTTTAGATTTTTAGAAAACAAGTTTAAGGTCACAGACTGGTAGATTAAATAAATAAAACAGATAAATTAGTGGGGTTCTGAAAGATCTTTATCTCTATAGTTGAACTTGATTATTGATTAGCCTTAGACATGTTTCAATTTTTTAATTTGTTCATTTTAGATATTCATGACAGTAGAGTGTATTTTGATGTATTTTACATGCATGGAGTATAACTTATTCTACTTAGGTTCCCATTCTTGTGGTTGTACATGACGTGGAATTTCACTGGTTATGTATTCTTGGCCTACTTGCTCAGTGTAGCATAACTTTGTGTGACTCTAGTACTTTCTTAAGAACTGCTCCTTGTACCTAGTGTTAGAATAGCTTTTGTTATTTGTG